AATCTCTTCATACCTACCTCTCAAAGTTACAAAAGAATTAGTAGTGATGCTAAAACATGCCTGACATGATTATTTATTCATCCATTCATTTATTCATTTAGACAATACTTATTAAAAAGCTACTATGTGCCAGACACTGTTCTAATAGCAGTGAGGGGGGGGGGAAAACCCAACCATCATTTAAAAAAAAAACAAAGAAAAATAACTACAGGAACTCACAGGGGATATTCTAATAGATTCCAAGAGAGTTTTAAGGTTATCAACAGATCAGATAATCAGAAATGTGTTTGTTTGTTGGCTGCTTGCCTTTTGAAAAGTTAATAATGACAGTGAAACCTACTACTATTAACTTCTTTTGAGTTACTATAAAAATCTAAAATAATGTTTAATAAACTATATTAATTAAAGCGATCTGAGGTTTAGCATTATTGATAAACAATGAATAATTTTTTAAAAAAGAGTCAGAATTACGATATGGCCGACAGTTCTAAAAAAAAATTTCTTTTCAGTTTTACGCTTAGGAAGGTCATTTGATTTCAAATCAGTACTCTCAAGAAATAGATCAGAGTCTGCTCCCATGGAAATTCAAGTATGGCCTTGAAATTCATTTCCTTATGCCCAATCTCAGATATGCTTTGTTTTTCCGATAGAGAAGTATATTAGCTTTTACCTTCCCTTGAAATTAATCCACAATAAATTATCAAGCGTTAGATTTTTCAACTGCATCCTAACTTTATTGCTAGAAAGGAAAATATTTACGCTAAATGCTGTATATTTACTAGTAAAAATCTATGACCTCTTCAGAAATTTTGATATCATTTTCATGAAATAGTTGTCCAATTACTTAAAAATCAGCTGATGTCCAAGTAGCTCACAGTGGGAAATGCATGCAGTTTTCATTTGCCATCAACTCAGTGTACCTATAACATCTGCTTGTGTGGAGGTGCACTTCCTTGAATAAATCTATTCTTTTTCTCCTGTTGTTTAAAGCCAAATGTGTTCAGATGTCATTACATCAATGAAAATTTCAGCCTTTTAAATGTGGGTAACTTAACGCATTTTAATAGCATAAAGTCCTTCAAGTGATCTACCAGGCATCTACTCTCAGAGAAAACGATCAGACAGTGGCCACTGCATTAAAATAAAATGAAGTGTCAAAAATGGTTTAAACCAAAGTCTTAACCATAGCTAGTTCATAGGATATTTGGAAGTTAATTTAAAGATTCACCATTTCATCACTTTTTTCCCAACACGTCATGCACTGATTTTGATGTAAACTTGACAGTACAAACTCTTCTAATGAACAGTAATAAGAGATCTATGGACACCAATCTTCTCCCTTGACTCAAAAGAGTGGATCCCAGACTTAAGCATGCATCAGAATCACCTACAAGACTTTAAAATGCAGATTTCTAGGCCCTGTCCCAAGACTTTTTGGTTCAGCAAGCTCAGAAATTGCATGGCTAACAGATTTCCTGACTTAAATAAATGGTGGAAAAAATATTTATTGCAGATGTAATATTTAGACCAAACTTCTGAGATGTGGTATGACAGGTGATTATACTCATTTACTTCAGGTAAGCTAAATTATTGCCTCTTTTGTTTTGGTTGTGAGAGCGTAACATGTAGATTCACTCGCCAGCACGTATGAGTCTTTTTCATGCAGATGACTTAGAAATGGTATTGCTTGTAGGAGCTCTAGCCATTAAATACACGTTAAGAATGCTCTTAGTTACGAATGATTCCCACCCCAGAATACAAGACATCCTCTTTTTTTTTTAGCGATGTTGAGCATCTTTTCATGTGTTTTTTTAAAATATCTTTATTGGAGTATAATTGCTTTACAATAGTTTGTTAGTTTCTGCTTTATAACAAAGTGAATCAGCTATACATATACATATGTTCCCATCTCTCTTCCCTCTTGCGTCTCCCTCCCTCCCACCCTCCCTATCCCACCCCTCTAGGTGGTCACAAAGCACCGAGCTGATCTCCCTGTGCTATGCGGCTGCTTCCCACTAGCTATCTATTTTACGTTTGGTAGTGTATATATGTCCATGCCGCTCTCTCGCTTTGTCACAGCTTACCCTTCCCCCTCCCCCTATCCTCAAGTCCATTCTCTAGTAGGTCTGTGTCTTTATTCCCGTCTTGCCCCTAGGTTCTTCATGTCCTTTTTTCCCCCTTAGATTCCATATATATGTGTTAGCATACGGTATTTGTTTTTCTCTTTCCAACTTACTTCACTCTGTATGACAGTCTCTAGGTCCATCCACCTCACTACAAATAACTCAGTTTTGTTCCTTTTTATGGCTGAGTAATATTCCATTGTATATATGTGCCACATCTTCTTTATCCATTCATCTGTCGATGGACACTTAGGTTGCTTCCATGTCCTGGCTATTGTAAATAGAGCTGCAATGAACATTTTGGTACATGACTCTTTTGAATTATGGTTTTCTCAGGGTATATGCCCAGTAGTGGGATTGCTGGGTCATATAGTAGTTCTATTTTTAGTTTTTTAAGGAACCTCCACACCGGTCAGAATGGCCATCATCAAAAAGTCTACAAACAATAAATGCTGGAGAGGGTGTGGAGAAAAGGGAACCCTCTTGCACTGTTGGTGGGAATGTAAATTGATACAGCCACTGTGGAGACATCCTTTCTTTGTTTGCTCTTTTTCTTCACATGCGCTCACACACTTCAGGAATGATTTCTTCAACAGGTGCACTTGGGAATAGAAGTTTTTTTTTTTTTTTTTTTTTTTTTTTTGCGGTACGCGGGCCTCTCACTGCTGTGGCCTCTCCCGCTGCGGAGCACAGGCTCCGGACGCGCAGGCTCAGCGGCCGTGGCTCACGGGCCCAGCCTCTCCGCGGCATGTAGGATCCTCCCGGACCGGGGCACGAACCCACGTCCCCTGCATCGGCAGGCGGACTCTCAACCACTGTGCCACCAGGGAAGCCCTAGAAGTCTTTTTGAAACAAAATTGGGTAAAGGGAGAAGATGATGCTACATGTGCTCACAAGGAACTTTTCCCCCCTTTGTTCTTCATAACTGCCTAAAAGAAGGCTCAAGTCAAATTATTCTGTTAAATATTTGTACATGTAGGTTGTCTATAAAAGAGTCATCTGTGTTTCAGTTTTTCCCCTTGTACTTTAATTCTTTCTTCTTTATAAAACTAGAAGCCCAAGGAATCTCTCTGCACCTAAATGTCAAGGCAAATATGCTAGCTGTTTAGATATAGTAAATATAATTGCTTTCCCACCTAATCTGATGGAAGCGAGGCCCGTTTGTGTAACATCTAAGTTGTTACACTTATCAATGTGCTATGTCATGAATAAATGGTAGTGACCTTAAGAAAAAATAATAAATAATAATGATGATGACTAATACTCATTGAACAGTTACTAGGAACCAGACACTGTATTAACAGATTGACATGAATTTACATAAAGAATTAAAACGACCCTATGAGAAAAGTATTCTTTTATTTAAAATTTAGAAATACTGAGTTTCAAAGAGTTAAGTAAATCCCTCCATTTCATGCAATGAGTAAAGGATAAGGCTATGACTTCTGTCAAGGCAGCTCAGAGTCCATCAACTTAATGACTATCTCACTGTCTCCACCATGAGTTATATTTTGTGCTATTTTTTGTTATATTGTTACTCAAGCTAAGTACAGTTATAAGACATTTCACAAGGTCTTTAACAGGAGTAAAACACCTACAAAGTAGGAATATGTTCCATTTACAAAAATGGAGAAATAGAAAATGAGAGAAGTTATTTCATTTATGCCCCAAATAACCTTGATGCACTGCTTATCGTATAGCATGTGGGTGATAACAACGCAAAACTTCACAGCTATTGAAAATGTTCTTAAATTGTGGTGATATCTTATTTAGGTGATAAGTTACAAGGCAATGATGTCTCTTTCTCACAAAGAAGTGATCCATTTTTTTCTCTTTAATGACACTGACAAAGTTCAGTGGCACATAATTGTTTAAACTGACACAACATTAGGCATCATAATTCTCTAAATTTCACAAACCTGAGAGTACTTCCCTGTTAATTTTTTATGGTAAATCTGATTATACCCTTGACTATCATGCTTCATGGGCATTTTTTTTTGGTAGAAATTATGTTGTAACTATTTACAGTAGTAGTTTAAGCTATAATTTTTACTACATTAGCTGTTGCCCAGTGTTTCATATGGAAGTTATTAATATCACAGACTCATAAATATGAATTATTAAGCTAATTCTCTGACATCCCAAGGAACAACTTAGCACTAAGTTAATGCAGCTTTGCAACTGAAATAAGCACATTCAACTGGCACCAATTCTGAGTATGTGTATCTATCCAAACAGTTCTCTGCACGGTGGTAATTCTTCTAATCCCTATAATTTATTCATCTCAGGATACACTCCAAGGCATTGTTTGCATGTGTTATCCACTAGCTTTAAAAACAGTATTCATTATTGGGAGGGAAGAGATGCAACTCTTCAGAAAGGTTTGTGGCAGTGATGTTTGTGCCGAGGAACATTCTATTTGCAAACACTTGTAACCTAATGAGTAAAATGAAAGAGGAGTTGTGAGGATTCAAGATTTAAGTACTTTACCTCCAACATCCTCCCAAGAGCCACACTACAATCACTGTAACAATTCCAGATTTCATTCTTGAAGCCCGTACATACTCAAAGTGGAAAGAAGCCTGTAATTGCCCAGTGGAATTTTCAAATACCCTTAAATTTGCCATTTCAAGCCACAGATACCAAATGGACACAAAAGTAGTGACCCTAATTTTCATCAGTTTATCAAAGCTAGGTTTTAAAGTGATGAATGTTTCTCCTTATTCTTGGTGTGAACCATCCATAACAACTTAGAAAACTGAAAAATATTCCTTGGACCAAAGTATCACTCTACTAAAGGAATGTCACTCAGCTTTTAAAGGCAGTGCAAGCCCTCTGATGTCATCAGAAGTGCTGACGTCAAGTTTTATGTTACAGGTCATTCAAACAGTGAGTGCCACGGACAAAGATGAGCCCAAAAACGGACATTATTTCTTATACAGCCTTCTTCCAGAAATGGTCAACAATCCGAATTTTACCATCAAGAAAAATGAAGGTAAATACATTAGCATTGTGAAACAGGGTAGAATATACATTGGAAAATAGGATGTGATTTCATAATATGACTGAAAATATCAAGTAAAATAATTTTTCTTCACTATGAGCAGTTGAAACTTAGCTTATCAGCCTAAAGGCATGGTAATTACATCACTTCCTCTTTCCAATATTGAAACAATAGCTAAGGGAATTGTGAATGTGCAAGTTAATTTTATCCCGGGGAATACCTCAATCACCTTACTTTAAAAAAAAAACGGACAGTAAGATTTAACCCCTGTGAAAGTTCCAGTAATTTTACTGAGATATCTGATGTTATCCAAGTACATTATACCGAGATATCTGATAGAGGAGGGGCTGGCTTATACTTGGCAGTTGTTAAGTTTTAATTGAATGTTTACCAAGCCTTTAGGGAAAGCCTATTCTAATTTCATCTGGTTTGTGGGTACACATTAGAGGTATTTGTCTTAAGCCTGTACCAACTTTGACAATAGCAATTAGATCAGAAAATCCTTCTTGAAGGACACTCCTTATCAGTATTATTTTGGAGCTAATATGAACTGATTTTCTTGTTAAGTCTTTTACTCACAGAAAATATTTAATCCATTTCATTATTTCTTGAGAACCAAGCTCGGGTTAACCATTTCCCTTAACTCTTGTCTATTACATATGAAGGTCATAGATCATTTTAAAAAAGTCCGTCTCATCTGTGCGTTTTTCTTTACTAAGCTGCTGTACATTTAACAAGGATTTTTAGCTGTCTGTTTTGGCTCAGAAGTATTTAAGCCTTAGTTTCAGCTGTTTTAGAATGATTAGCAGAATAAATGTATCATCTGGGGCTGTCTTCTGGCTTTACTATAGGCATGTGTTTAGATTTATGAATGGTCTATATAAAAACTATGCTCAATCTGAAGAGTAAAATTTGGCTCATGACATTTGGTTCATTTTCTCTGTTCTGTTTCAAGGAGGTAGTGAGTTTTGGTAAAACTTCCTTTATGAAGTGAAATAACATTTTCTGGCTCTTGTTAAATATATTCTGGCCTTACCCTTTAACAAAATGCTACTTAGTTCTTTGGGGATGCATCACAGAAAAGGAAATGAGAAAGCTATGATATAGATATTACTCATTCAGCTGGCTTCCACTATTAAAAACCTTAAGGAAATGAAATCTTGATCTTTCTCCTCAATAGAGGAGTTACAAGTGTTAGCCTCCCTGAATTAGGAGCTCTAATCCAAGTACATTGTCTTTGTTTTTTGGATAACGCCGCCAACATTTCTTTTTTTTGTGGAAGCCCCGTGACCACGCCTAAGATGAGAGCCCCCTCGGCAATTCCAAACTGAGCTGAAAGTCTGTGCAGAAGTGTGAGCCATGCTTACTTTGATTGTGAGCTAATAGGTACTAGTCATTATTTTTGCATATCAAATGCCCTACATTTAAAGATTCTCTGGGAAGAAGTGTTTTCCCATCCCAAAGGTCTGAGCTCCTTGGCGCTTTCTGTGCATTCTGCAATTTCAAGATGTGCCCATTACAGGTATGGCCCGTCCAAGACACGGCGTAAACATATGCTGGATGAATGAGAGGTAGTTACTGGGTGCCTGTGAAAGTGTAGTTTTGTACTATATTTATTATGCCCTAAACCCTTGAAAGAGGAGATTTTAGTCCTACAGTGGATGAATTTCAAGTGTTTTCTCTACTTTTTAGAATTAGTACGAAGTAAAAGTTTGTACACCTAGGAAAACTCTTCGTGCTGCAACCCACATTTCAATAAACCCCGTAGTAGAATATTTAAGGCATGTGGATTATCTGTTTTATCTTGAAACTAGAAAATAGGATTTAAGGTTTGACTTACCTCACAGGTGTGTGTGTGTGTGTGAAATAATTGCAAAAAAAAAAGCTAGGTATCACAAAATGGACAGAAAGAACACTCTCTGTGCCATGACTGTTTATTTAAAATTATGTGTTGATTTATTTTGCAAAGAGTGACCATATATTGTCCCAAATGGGATATTTTTTAAAGTGAAAGGGGTTGCTATTTATATTTATGCCTAGAAACACCATAAACCAGGACAGTCTTGTGGAAACTAGGACATATGTTCTCTGTGATTTTGGATTTAGGATCCAAATATTCAACATCTCCATAGAATTAATCATGAACACAGGTCTCTGGAACAGATATGTCAAGTTTATACTCTATCTCCCTTTTCCTGGATCAGAAATGCATGAGTTTTGTTTCACTTTTTTGGCATCTGGATAGTTTCCATCAAAGTAGGAAAAAAAACACAGTTTGTCTCCTCTTAACATTTAGAAACAAAGCAATGGAAAGAAGTTGTCAGGTTTAAAATGGTGGAGATATACTGATAAGAAGGTAGATAAAATGTTGTCTTGTGAGCCTGTTTCTCATTCCTTATTAATGATGAGAGAACACAAAACAACCAAAAAAATTCAAATACTAGACATTATTTATTTTAAAACTATGGTATATTTTATGTTCAAAATGTGAGAGAATCAAATGATAAACTCATATTCAGAATTGCTTTTCCTTCTTCAGATGGACTTTAAAATGGTCAATAGCTGATGTTTCTCCACTGAGAACTTCATGATTTACAAGTCCTAGCCCAGCAGATGAAGGTTAATATTTTGAGACAGCCAAGACATTCAAATCCATAATTGATAGGTGGATGAACCCTCTTTTTAATTGGATCTTTAAGGGAGATGGTTTCAGTATTTGGCATTTTCTAAGAAACTTGCAGCATGTCTTTCAATTCGAAGTTGCTGTGATCATTCTCCTCTCTCATACAGCTTGGTCCTTCTGCAATTTTCAGCTGACTAATTCATAATCAAAAACAAAATGAGATAGAAATTAACTGTCTCTTGTCTCCTATACAGTTGAGTGATTTCATAAATAATTCTCTTTCTGAATATATGAGAATTATATTTCTGCCAGAATAGGAAAGCAAACTTCAATACAGATAAAGGTGAAAACAAAGGTCAAAAATGTGATGAGGGCTTCCCTGGTGGCGCAGTGGCTGAGAGTCCGCCTGCCGACGCAGGGGATGCGGGTTCGTGCCCCGGTCCGGGAGGATCCCACATGCCGCGGAGCGGCTGGGCCCGTGAGCCATGGCCGCTGAGCCTGCGCGTCTGGAGCCTGTGCTCCGCAGCGGGAGAGGCCACAGCAGTGAGAGGCCCGCGTACCGCAAAAAAAAAAAAAAAAAAAAAAATGTGATGAGTCACTCACATCACATGTACACACCAAACAACCACAACGTTTTGAATCTTCTCAATTATACAGCTCAGACATCGGTTTCTTCATCTTCCAGTTGGATGAATTTATAAACAAAAGGAGTTTGACTGACAGCATTTCAGTAGTGGCTTCCATTCTAATTGTGAAAACAGAAGATACTCAGCAATTACATATTAACAAGTCAGGGAAGATAAATGAACCTTTTCCAGATACAGAAATCTCTTGCATGCAGAAAATGTGAGGTCGGCAGAAACACGATCTTCGCCAGCCAGCACGTTGCAGTTAAAAGATATGATTGAAATTGCCAGAAAGCAGGCTGAAGAAATGGGAGTCTTCATGTTTTATACTGAAATATTTGAATCACATGTATAGAGGAATAAGGATAAACATAAAACGCTCCCCTAAAGAGGGTCTGTGGGAAGGAAAGACATAGACTTGGCCTTAGTTATAGCTTGATTAGGCTTAAGGAAAGACAGAGGGGAACCAGAATATCTGATGACACTAATATTTTTTATTTTCTCCTCTTGGTGACTCTTTTTTAACCAAAATTCTATTAACAAGAACCTCACTCTAAAGGCATGATTGTGATAATTAATTTAGATAATGGAGATGGTGATTAGAGCTTTGAAATAAGTGTGTCTTGGGTTATCTCAATATCCATTCCATGGTTACCTGTTTAGAGTATAATTCATGTTTTGTTTGGTGGGGTTTCCATCTCAACTCAATGGCCAACTTCAATCACTATGTGTTTCATGTCTTTTTATCCTCTAGAAATATCCCTTGTGAGAATACTGACTACAGGCAAGTTATTTTAAGCCTCAGTTTCATCATCTGTAATACCAGATACTACCTATCTACCCCTTAGGTGTGCTTTGATGGATATGAGTAACTGAGGGCTTAGACAGCTATTATCCCAGTGTCTGGCACATAGAAAATTACCCATCATGAAATGGGACAAGATCTTATTTATGTGAATCCATTAATTCCTAAATTTCCATCTCTTCATGGAAGAGATGGCTTATCATTCTCAACCAGGTCCCTTTGCAGCTATAACTCTGTTGATTTTTGAATGTTGTACAGTAGTTCTGAAATTGGCCTCACTGGTAGTTGTGAAACTAATGATCCTTACTAGTACGCATTGCAATGTATTGCAGTCTAAAGGGCATTATCATAGAAACATAAAAGGGAAAAAAATAGGAAGATGAGAAGGTGGGGAAAGAATGAAAATATTTACCAGCCACGAAATAGCTGGGATTCCTGGACCTGGTTTTAAATATGCAGGCTTTTTTTTTTTTTCTCTCTCTCCTTTGCCAATATTAAACTAAGCTTTCTCCGTAAAATGGCTAATCCCAATTTCCAATTTGTTAAGATGACATTCCATTCTAGCATATCAAGTTGTTTTAAATCATCCACAACCTCCCAACACACAGACTCTGTGGGAATCATTTTGTATAAGCTGGAAAATTAGAGTCTTCCTTTGCTTTTTTGAATAATGTCAACTTAATTCAGACGCCTCTTGTCCCCAAACTAAAATTTACTTCTTGAAAGTGGAAGTGGGTTTTCCACATTCCAAGCCAGCCAGAGCTGATCCTCAGCCCTCCATCCTCTCTCCAGGCACACCTCTCCTGTATTCAGGATTTAGGTTTCCAGGCAGGCAGAGTCCCTCTGCCCCATCTGGGCTGAATTAGACCTGAAAAGCCTTCCTTGATTATCCACACAGCAAAGAGGACCTTGGTAAGCCAACTGTCCTCTTTCTGGA